GTGTCTCCCTCTCTCTCTGCCCCTCCCCTTCTCATGCTCTCTCTTTCTCTCCCTCTCTCTCAAAAATAAATAAAAACTTTAAAAACTTTTTTTTTTTGAGGGAAAGGAATTCAAACTGTTTACTAAGATTGTGTCTGTGTATAAACTTAGGTATAACTTAACATTTATCTAACCACTGACCTCTAACTCATTAACAAAGTAGGTTAATTTTATCCACATTGCCAAAACATCCATAAATAATAGTGCAGTCATGTTTATTTCTCATTGAGGCAAGCCACAAATTCTCTGAACTGCAACCGGAATACATCAAAATCTTTTCTACTTCAATGAAAGCTTTGTTATAATCTTCATATAGAAGAGGAACAAAGTAGACACATCTACTCTATGAAGTTTTTCTGAACACTTCAGGAATAATGAATTAGACTGCATGTCAGGCTGTTTTGATTGGGGGAAGAAGGTATTTCTTCCCAAGGCTTATAAAGAAACTTCTGTTTATAAAGAAATGTCTCAATTCCTACAGGCCAGCATTAGCACCTCCCATTCCCTTCCAATCCAACACTTTTTAAAAGACACTATTTCTCTCAATTTGTTAAATAGATTGTCTTCTTGGAATTGTATATATAATGGTGTATTATACATCTTTCCCTATCATTTGCTGTATTTACAATTTGTATGCAATTTGGACAACCTGGGTTTTCACACAGTTTTGTGAATAAAAAATACTGTCGTTTAAAAATTTAATAAAATGGGGTGCCTGGGTGGCTCAGTCAGTTGAGTGTCTGACTTTAGCTCAGGTCATGATCTCAAGGTTTGTGAGTTCAAGCCCCGCATCAGGCTCTATTGCTGACAGCTCAGAGCCTGGAGCCTGCTTCAGATTCTGTGTCTCCCTTTTTTTCTCTGCTCCTCCCTTGCTTCTCTGTCTCTCTTTCCTTCCCAAAAATAAACATTAAAAATTTAATAAAATGTCACAGTGTTAACATTTGCGTTTAGTGGGTTTGAGCCCCGTACCCACCCTTATAGTGTGATATATTATTTTTGACCAAAAGATCTAGTATTTATGATAACAAAATTTATAATTAGCTAGCAAAAGTTAATCAGGTAGAATAATTTGCTAGTGAAACTTCTTCCAGTTTACATAAAAAAAAAAAAAAAATAGCCCCCTTAGTGCTGTCTGATATAATCATTTTAATACATATAAAATCATCAAAAAGTTTAGGCATATATAGATACATTTATTTCAAACATAAATGAGATATTATAGATTAGTCTATAACCTATTTTTCCAACTTAAATGATATACTATGAAAATTAATCTACATCTTTATTGTGAAAATTATATATGTTCCAAATTACTTATTCTGGCTTTAATTCAAATTAAAGTCATGGCAGTTGTTTTAATAGGTACAGAACTTAGGCATGTGTTAAATTTTAAACTACTGACATAAGATTTTGAGAATTAAAGGCACTGAGCTGCTGCACATAAATATGTATATAGATTATGATAAAAGTTTGAGAATTTGCACAAGGCTTGTGAAGGTTCTAACAACATAAATGTAGCCAGGTTGTTTAGGGATCTTTTGGCACATTTATATTTACTCTATATTTTGTAAGTGTGAAATTGATTCTTGGCTAGTTTGTTTGTAAACTCTCATAGAGGATTCCAGTTTATCCACATCCTTTGCCTTTATAAATTATCTTTTGCCTGAGACTAGGATGTTTGTTTATTTGATTTTGAAGGAAACCAGTTCTCCTGAATGTTTGTTATTGACCATTACATTCAAATTGACTCATTAACCTTGTCACATTTAAACCATTTGTGAATTCTCCCATTTTTAAATAATTGGATAAAACTGTATGGTCTGCTAACTCATTTGGAATTTAAAAGAAAAATAACCCTTTCCTTATTTTTATTGGAAAGTCTATAAAAATATAGCACAGACTGTGTCATTGACAATACATTTTATCCTGGTTTTTCAAATATGCATTGTGTTTCCTTGTGGGGGGGTTACCATAAAGTATTCAAGTATTCAGTTTTTGATGGACATTTAGTATGCTTCAAGCATTTATTTATTTATTCACTCATTCATTCATTCATTCATTTACGTTTATGTATTTTGAAAGAGAGAAACTGAGCACATCCGAGGGGGAGGGCCAGAGGGAGAAAGAAAGAATACCAAGTATTCTGATGCTGCAACTGACAGTGTGGAGCCCAACCTAGGGCTTAAACTTATGAACGGTGAGATCCTGACCTGAGCCTAAAGCAAGAGTCAGACACTTAACCAACTGAGCCCCCCAGGTACCCCAGAAATTAGTTTGCTTCAAATATTTAAAACATTTATAGCACCTTGAAAATACTGCTTACACAAAATAGGGAATATACATATTTGTTGAACGAAAAATTTTCTCTAAATTGTCCTCCAATCTCTGAAAGTAGGGGTTGGGTAATTTTCATGTATTCAATTCTCTCTAATCCAAGGCCCAAGTCTCTTAGCATATATTATGGCTCACTAAATTCTCTTGAGTGTTGAGACTATTATATGGGAAAGGACAGTTTGAATTTATAGTTATGGAGGGGGATCCTCTTTCTAGAACTTAGTCCTTGGGTTAAATGTATGCCTGGATTTCACAGGCATTAACTGTAGGTTCAGAATATGCCCTAAGAATTGTACCTTCATGAGTATGACAGCAATGAAACCAAACACAGAAAGGAGCCAGCACGTACCTGGACAAGAAACATCGCTATGTGGTGAAATTCTCCACGGCCCCCTTGCTTAACAGGAACTGTCATAAAGAATGTGCTGCCGTCTCTAGAAAACACTGGCTCCTCATTCTAAAAACAGAAGTGCACGTGATGACATCAAGATGGTATTGGACTTTTGTTTGCAAAACGGTCAAATTATTTTAAAAATAATATGAATGCACCACCACCATCTATCTTCAGAAAATTTTCATGTGTCCCAACTAGAAACTGTGTCCATTAAACAGTAACTTCCCATTCCTCCCTACCCCACTCCCTGGAAGCACCATCAATGTCCTTTCTGTCTCTTTGTTTTGACTCTACCAGAACAAATTCTTTAATGACTGGCTTATAAAAACCAAACAATATCTAATATATTTTTTTTCTGAAATATTTCACCCAGCCACTCTAGTTACTTGAACATACATTTCTGTTGATGCATATATAAATGTACTGAAACTCTGAAATTAAAAGGCTGCAAAATTGGAAGGAATCCATTGAAAATCATTTAATTCAAACTTCCCATCTTCACTGTTCACCCCTCCAAAAATACACAAATACAAATGCCCATTTGATGATTTTTTAATTAAGCTCTAAGTGGCATGTTACATCAATAGAATTATTTTCTGAAAATTAAATGATGGAAGCTATGCATATAGACTGCTTTCTTTTTGCTCCAGGGGAAACATTAAGAAAATGGATTTGTCTGAAAAACATTCAGTTCTTTCCTGTTGGATTAGTGACAGTGATTATACATCCGGTAAAAGAAAGACTTTTGCTATGGTTACTTTTTTTGCAGGTCTTTAAAATGCCCTATAAACCCTTTCAGATGATCTGGCCCTCCACTCTCTTTCTGATCTCATCTCCTTTCATTCTCCTGCTTCCTCATTGTGCATGATCCTGCTCCAGGGCCTTTGCACTTTTTATTCTGCCTGGTTCTTTCTTTTATCTCTTTCATATCTTGGCTCTGTATCACCTTAACAGTGAGGTGTTTTCCCATTACCCCATACAGAGGGTGATCTTAGGAGCCAGATCAGCCAACTCTGTCTGAATCCCTCATCTCCTTTTACCTACTTCTGTTTTTTTTTCCATAGTACCTAACAGTATCCAACATATTTTATTTCAGGTAGGTATGCATTTTTTTTGTATATGCGTGTATGTATGCAGGTGGGCAAGTAGATAGGCAAGTAGGTGAAGTTCCTCAGGAATGTAAACTCCATGAGGGAGGACCCTTGAATTCTTCACTGCTCTACCTCCAGCACCTAGATAATGACTGTTATATAAATTGTGCTTAATAATTATTTACTTATTTTACTTGAATAAGTAAATTAGTAACTATTTTCATAATCTCGAGTCTGGTTTCAGCTTTATTAGTGAGAACCTCCCTTGATAGAGATATAAGGCTAATATTTTTCTTCTCTACTTCATGGACACTCATGAAAATATATGGCATATGTAAAAATGTAAAACTGAAGGAATATACAGTTCAAGGATGAAAACATTGCATTGCTAGGTATATAATAAATACTGACAAGATACCTGAATGAATCACATCTTTCAACTATGATAGAGTCAATAATTCTGTAGGTTCCCTCTCTTGCCCTCTGGAATCTCTCTTTTGCCTTTGTACATGAAACATCTGCTTGGAACAACGTTTTTGTTTTGCTTTTTGTACTGAATCTTACTCTTTTTTTTTTCTTAAACTCAAGGAACAGAAACCATTACCAAATTTCCCTGGTTAGAGAGTGTCTCGTAGTTAAGAAATCTCTCCTTAGAGATTCTAACAATTACACTGTATTTATCTCTATCATGACATTCAATGCATTCTATTATATGGTTGGCTTCTTTCACTAGGCAAGTAATAATTAAACTAAGTTTATAATTTTATCTTTTTAGCTTTATTGCCTAGGACCCAGTAGGTGTCCAACTCATAATTGGATAGATGAATGCATGTTTACAACAGGCAAAATATTTGTTATATATATATCATTCTATCCACATTTGCTCCAACTTATCAGCTCCTTCCCTATTCTCTCCTTGTGATTTGCTCCAAAAGTAAATTGCCTTTTTAAGGTACAGGATTATATGAGAATTCTCCTTTTTATATTTGTCCACCCCACCCCCCCAAGCCCTTTCCAATTCTAATGCCTTATAAATGGTTCAGCAAAGGAGCAGATGGAGACTATATTCCTAAATGCATTGCTGGGCTTAAAACCCTTCACCATGAGGCAATATCTACATATAAATAGGGCTCTATGCCAACCTTTTCCTAGAATCAAATAATGGAAATGGAGCCAATTTCACTGTCTACTTTTATGATTGTAAGCAAGCCAATGTTTATGACACACAGAACAATGGATTGGGGATACCAAACTCTATTTCTTGACCAATAGTTTTGTATATGGGTTATCACAGGCCTCTTGAAAGCCAGGCCACATTCTCTCTGTTCTTCCTACTATCCAGAAAGTGAGCATATGATGATTATACTTAATTCCTAGTTGTCTTAGAAATTTGGTTCATCTCAATACTATCAGTGTCATACTTTAAATTTCATCAAATTTTAAATATTTTATAAAATTCCCTAAGAGCTTCTAGAGAAAACCTCAACTGTGACAAACTACCACCTGCATTTTTTTTACTGAATAATTGATAACTAGTTTCTTTGCTTTAAAAAAAGTTTCTATTAAACATTCATAAATTTTGGATTTAAAATGTAGATAACATAATTCCAAAAGAGCATACATTATGTTGATACATGTCAGACTATTATGAATGTCACTGGCAATAAAAATGATAGCAAAATAGGTTTAATAATACAGTACAATTCAGAATATATCAATATCCATTATGATGTCTCTCAATGTTATTATTTTCAGTATCTAACTTAAGAAAGTCCATTACTGACTATAAGACCAAAGTTGGGTTTTTTCCTCCAATTTCATGAAGATTAAGTAGTCCATATTAATATCTATTTATCTATCTAGCTGTAGATTTGGTACTCCTATGCTTCAAACAAGAAAAGTTTTAGCTTACTTACAGACCTTTTTATTTATTCACCAAGTATTTATGGAAATTTTGTTATAACCAGACTCTGTATTAGGCATTTAGTTTACAATGGGAAACAAAAGATGAATATTCCTCCTGCCCTTGTGAATTTAGGAAAAAGTTTACAGAAATAATTGTGTAAGTATCACAAAAAAGATTACACTTGACTTTCAAATAACTCTTATTAAGAAATGGGATTTGGTTATGGTGGTTGGAGGAGGTGACTTTTTAAGTGGGTGATTTAAGCTGAGGTTTGAAAAATGATCAGGCTTCACAAAAGAAAGTAGTTGAGAGAATTCTGTTCAGAGGAAAGGTTCATACCACACCTTGTAGTATGAGTGCTAATGTGCCACAGTGGAGAAGGAATCAACAAGAATCGTTCCAGTTGTGAGAGGGGGAGTGTGACAGTGACGTGGCTAGAGGCACCAAAATGCATGCTGTGCACAGGTCCCTCAGCCAGCCTGCAGTGTGGTGAACAGACTGGCGTGTGCCCGAGGGGTTGAGTGTTTAGCAGTGAGAGAGGTGCTGCCGTACCAGCAGATTGATCCTGGATGCTGTTTGTGAATTGGAGTAAAGTAAATTGACTTGAGATCTTCTGATGTAAAATTGAAGAACTTGGTGATGAATAATATGTGCAGAAAAGAATGGGAAAAAGTTTAAGAATGACTGCTAGGTTTCCAATTTTTAATAGCTGGATGGGTAATTATGTCCTTGACTCCTATGATGAAAAGAATGCATATAGTCACTAGAAGGGGAATATGTCCACTGTGGACCTGTGGAGTGTGCAGTTACTTTTACAGACTTAGGAGAAGTTTCCAAGCATGAATTTGGATGTTTGAGAACTCAGCCAAGTGAGCTGCCCAGGGCTATACATCTAGAGG